ATTTAGGGGAATCATGTTATCTTATATTAAGTTGAGTTCTTGAGTACACAATCTATGATTGAGCATGAGAACTGTTTCATAAATACGGGACCTGGCCCCACTTGTGTAAAACATCTCAACTTGAGATTTCCTCAAGTCGAGATTTTCCTCAGCTGATATCTCCTCAAAAACGGCTTGTATAAAATTTTCTCAAGGAACAGGAGGAAGTCATCGGCTAGGATGTCCTGAAATTCCTTGAGGAATTTTCATACAAGATATTTTCAAGGAGATATTAGCTGAGGAAAATTTGGGCTTGAGGAAATCTCAAGTTGAGATGTTTTATACAAGTGGGGCCTGGTCTTATTCTCCTTGTACTTTTTCAGGACCACACGTGTAAATCTTTCTTTTATTCTTATTTGGTTTAGTTATTGAATTTGAGTTTGATTTAGGATATTTAAAAAACACATTGCTGGTCTTAATTAAATATATTAAGACTGAAACTTTGGCGCTTTATCATGTATACATTGTCGAAATTACCTGTACAGCTGATTGCGAAAAAATAATTTCCCTTTTGCCAATAGCTGACCAATATGCGATCTGAAGAGATCTATGTCCATGAGACAGTTTCTGGTCAGTTGCTCTACTGTTTTTTCCTCGGTGTTATCTGTGCGTATTTTAAAACATGTCACGATATATGTTATTTGTGCTTGTTAAGACGTGTATTTGAAATTAATTGTTGTTGTTTTTATATATATATTTGTTTTTAATTGTACTTGTTAACAATTTTGATGTACATTGTATATTACCCTGCTCTGAGAGAAGCTCGTTTACACTTGTTCTCTTCTCAAACTCTCGTTACCCAAACAGCACCCACATTATAACATTTTCTTGTCCGGGACAAATGGAAGGGAGATAACTCCGACAGTCAATCGAATCCATACTATGCATGATTCTGGTTACTGATGCACGAATGATGAGGTGCTTTCTGTAGTTTGATTAATGATCATTGGTAAATCATTCAACAGATACTCAATTAAATGCCAAATAATTACTAATCAAATAGATAATGTGCTTAATTAATGTCAGTCAATTAATACGACTGCTTGTTATTTGTACCATTTCTGAATTATTAATTAATTAATAATAAATTATTTCTTAATTATTTTGGTACGCATATACTGGGCCTTGAACTTTTTTCTATATTTAACGAGTCTTAGTTTTTGTATTGAATAACAGAGAAAAAATATACTTTGACAAGTTTAAAAGTAATACTTTGTGATACAAAATCGAAGGCAGCCATTTTATTATTCATGACGTAACGTCTATATTATTTCTGTATTGCGTAGTCAAAGAAGAACGCTTAATTGTTTAATACACTAAAGACACATACACAGAAATATGACATAGGCATATTAAATTTCTTGATATACTGTACAGTACGTTATTGCCTCAAAAACACCTCTAATACACCATAACACGTCACCGCCTCACAAACACCTCTAATACACCATAACACGTCACCGCCTCAAAAACATCTCTAACACACCATAACACGTCACCGCCTCAAAAACACCTCTAACATACCATAACACGTTACCGCCTCAAAAACACCTCTAACACACCATAACACTTTACCGCCTCAAAAACACCTCTAACACACCATAACACGTTACCGCCTCAAAAATCCTCTAACACACCATAACACGTCACCGCCTCAAAAACACCTCTAACAAACCATAACACGTCACCGCCTCAAAAACACCTCTAACACACCATAACACGTCACCGCCTCAAAAGCACTTCTAACACACCATAACATGTTACTACCTCAAAAACACCTCTAATACACCATAACACGTTACCGCCTCAAAAACACCTCTAACACACCATAACACGTTACTGCCTCAAAAACACCTCTAACACACCATAACACGTTAGTGCCTCAAAAACACCTCTAACACACCATAACACGTTACTGCCTCAAAAACACCTCTAACACACCATAACACGTTACTGCCTCAAAAACACCTCTAACACACCATAACACTTTACCGCCTCAAAAACACCTCTAACACACCATAACACGTTACTGCCTCAAAAACACCTCTAACACACCATAACACTTTACCGCCTCAAAAACACCTCTAACACACCATAACACGTTAGTGCCTCAAAAACACCTCTAACACACCATAACACGTTACTGCCTCAAAAACACCTCTAACACACCATAACACTTTACCGCCTCAAAAACACCTCTAACACACCATAACACGTCACCGCCTCAAACACACCTCTAACACACCATAACACGTTACCGCCTCAAAAGCACTTCTAACACACCATAACATGTTACTACCTCAAAAACACCTCTAATACACCATAACACGTTACCGCCTCAAAAACACCTCTAACACACCATAACATGTTACTGCCTCAAAAACACCTCTAACACACCATAACACGTTAGTGCCTCAAAAACACCTCTAACACACCATAACACGTTACTGCCTCAAAAACACCTCTAACACACCATAACACTTTACCGCCTCAAAACACCTCTAACACACCATAACACGTCACCGCCTCAATCACACCTCTAACACACCATAACACGTTACTGCCTCAAAAACACCTCTAATACACCATAACACGTCACTGCCTCAAAAACACCTCTAATACACCATAACACGTTACCGCCTCAAACACACCTCTAACACACCATAACACGTTACTGCCTCAAAAACACCTCTAATACACCATAACACGTCACTGCCTCAAAAACACCTCTAACACACCATAACACGTTACTGCCTCAAAAACACCTCTAATACACCATAACACGTCACTGCCTCAAAAACACCTCTAACACACCATAACACGTTACTGCCTCAAAAACACCTCTAACACACCATAACACTTTACCGCCTCAAAAACACCTCTAACACACCATAACACGTCACCGCCTCAATCACACCTCTAACACACCATAACACGTTACTGCCTCAAAAACACCTCTAACACACCATAACACGTCACCGCCTCAAAAACACCTCTAACATACCATAACACGTTACCGCCTCAAAAACACCTCTAACACACCATAACACTTTACCGCCTCAAAAACACCTCTAACACACCATAACACGTTACCGCCTCAAAAACACCTCTAACACACCATAACACGTCACCGCCTCAAAAACACCTCTAACACACCATAACACGTTACCGCCTCAAAAACACCTCTAATACACCATAACACGTCACTGCCTCAAAAACACCTCTAACACACCATAACACGTTACTGCCTCAAAAACACCTCTAATACACCATAACACGTCACTGCCTCAAAAACACCTCTAACACACCATAACACGTTACTGCCTCAAAAACACCTCTAACACACCATAACACTTTACCGCCTCAAAAACACCTCTAACACACCATAACACGTCACCGCCTCAATCACACCTCTAACACACCATAACACGTTACTGCCTCAAAAACACCTCTAACACACCATAACACGTCACCGCCTCAAAAACACCTCTAACATACCATAACACGTTACCGCCTCAAAAACACCTCTAACACACCATAACACTTTACCGCCTCAAAAACACCTCTAACACACCATAACACGTTACCGCCTCAAAAACACCTCTAACACACCATAACACGTCACCGCCTCAAAAACACCTCTAACACACCATAACACGTTACCGCCTCAAAAACACCTCTAACAAACCATAACACGTCACCGCCTCAAAAACACCTCTAACACACCATAACACGTTAGTGCCTCAAAAGCACTTCTAACACACCATAACATGTTACTACCTCAAAAACACCTCTAATACACCATAACACGTTACCGCCTCAAAAACACCTCTAACACACCATAACACGTTACCGCCTCAAAAACACCTCTAACACACCATAACACGTTACTGCCTCAAAAACACCTCTAACACACCATAACACGTTAGTGCCTCAAAAACACCTCTAACACACCATAACACGTTACTGCCTCAAAAACACCTCTAACACACCATAACACGTTACTGCCTCAAAAACACCTCTAACACACCATAACACTTTACCGCCTCAAAAACACCTCTAACACACCATAACACGTTACTGCCTCAAAACACCTCTAACACACCATAACACTTTACCGCCTCAAAAACACCTCTAACACACCATAACACGTTAGTGCCTCAAAAACACCTCTAACACACCATAACACGTTACTGCCTCAAAAACACCTCTAACACACCATAACACTTTACCGCCTCAAAAACACCTCTAACACACCATAACACGTCACCGCCTCAAACAAACCTCTAACACACCATAACACGTTACCGCCTCAAAAGCACTTCTAACACACCATAACATGTTACTACCTCAAAAACACCTCTAATACACCATAACACGTTACCGCCTCAAAAACACCTCTAACACACCATAACATGTTACTGCCTCAAAAACACCTCTAACACACCATAACACGTTAGTGCCTCAAAAACACCTCTAACACACCATAACACGTTACTGCCTCAAAAACACCTCTAACACACCATAACACTTTACCGCCTCAAAAACACCTCTAACACACCATAACACGTCACCGCCTCAATCACACCTCTAACACACCATAACACGTTACTGCCTCAAAAACACCTCTAATACACCATAACACGTCACTGCCTCAAAAACACCTCTAATACACCATAACACGTTACCGCCTCAAACACACCTCTAACACACCATAACACGTTACTGCCTCAAAAACACCTCTAATACACCATAACACGTCACTGCCTCAAAAACACCTCTAACACACCATAACACGTTACTGCCTCAAAAACACCTCTAACACACCATAACACGTCACCGCCTCAAAAACACCTCTAATACACCATAACACGTCACCGCCTCAAAAACACACTCTGTGAACGCAGTATTTGGACAGAACAAATTAATGCACTATCTAAAAATATGATATAACAAAAATAGAGAATTCTACAATGAATTGATAAATTATTTTAATCGACAAATTATATTACACAAAATATTCGTATTGCGCATACGATCGTGAGTTCGCCTCCGTTACATCCAATCTGGATAAGTTGTTGATATTGCAGACATTTGATACAGGTTCACATCTACCTTCCAGAGATGCTTATTGTAAATTTAAAGATCAAGTTTTGAAAGTCCACACGCTTAATCAATATTACAGTTCTAAGAAATTGCGATGGGGCGATAGGTTCACGACAGCTATGGCACGTTGTTGTAGCATTTGCAGCATCCATCGAAATTGAACCAGGCAACTCCATACCTAGAGCTTTGTCCTATTTTTCCTGTGTCGTAAACTCCCGTGTACAATACCTCTTCTTTGAGACAGGTACACATCATACATCCACCCAGCTGACTGTGAAATTGATTAATTGTAAACAAGTTTGACAAACACCATCAATCAATATTTTAATCTATGTAAATAAATGTAATTATTCAATATAAATCATATTGTTAAATGTTCATGAAGTTATTCTTTGTGAATTCATGCTTGTTGTATCCTTTGTTTTATCTGTGTCCAAATCATACCGACTATAAATATCGTTTGTGTTCACTAGATCAGTCTTATGCATTTCGTTACATGTTACTTTATCACGTAAGAGATTGCCACCATTCCGAGAACTTGATTGATGCAAAGTCCTTCTAGGGCCGGTCATTGACGCTACATATACATCATACAGTTGTTTTGTCCTTCGCGGATTCACCAGTTATGCTAAGACATACAACGTTTTCTAGGACTGTTATATCAGGGGCCTAAATTGGACATTTCTAGATGCGGTTTCTTTAACTAATGTATTCCCGACTTAAATTGAATTTGAGTTTGGATTATCATTCTGAAGACATGATATTTGCTTTTTTTAATATTATAAATTATACATATTCATACATTATAAATTTGTTACTGTTATGCTATTGTTTATGCTAAATGCTATTTTAAATTGATTCGAACATTTAACATTCGCCTGTAATTGTAGCTTGTGCCAGGACACTAAAGCTAAAACTCCACCTGTAATTTAGCTAGTTTTCGGTGGCAATGGTATAATATTTATCTATCTTATGTTAATCCGAGGCCAAACCGATGCTTAAAGATCAGTAAATATGTCACTTACGTGCAAGTTTCAGACCGGAAATACTGTCTCTGATTATCGAATACGGCCAGTTTCCTGTTGATACCGTTGGTATCTGTTTTATAGACCGGAGATACATACTGGATATTTCTGAAAACAATATTTTCACTTCTAATGTCATCACTATTACAGAGTTTCAATAAATAAATAAACAAATAAATAAATAAATAAACAAATAAATAAATAAATAAATAAATAAATAAACAAATAAATGAATAAAGATCAGAAAAGAAGCAACATTACCGATCCTTTACAGCTGTTATGATACAAGTACTTGAAAGAATTCTGCATGCAATGATACACATAATTAATAATTGAATTATTTCCCTCTAGATGAGAACGTTTCTTTGTGATTAAAGCTAGTGTTATTGAATTATTAAACGATAGAAAAATATCACGACGACATAAATCCAATGATTTGACAGAAATGTACGATATAACCTCGGGCTAGCTTCAGAAGATATATAAAATATATACTTAAAAGGTGTTTGTTCATTACTTTAAATCCATGTCGGATGCTTTCGAACCACAACAACAATGGTGGTCCTCTGTGAGACAAGTAAATAAAGATGAATACGAAAAAAAAACACCAGGAATCGTGGCCCTCTGGGGGACGGGGAAATAACGAAAGGCAACACTCGTGAAAGACACAAAACATATAAGACACACGACTGAATTTCTAAAGACACTATTAAATATCCTATTTATTACATCTTAACAAGCAAAATAGTCAAATTACTGTCATTTCTAGAACAACCATACTGACTAGGTTTTTCACGGACACTATTCATTCATTATAAATTCGCAGTACGCGACAAAATATAGTCCGTTTTTTTAATCATTAAAAATATGTTAATACAAAATAAAATCAATGTAAGTTTGCATTGATATCCAAATAGAAAACATTACTTATTAATGCCACTTAGAGACTAAATTTGCTGTAAAACGTTCAAGAGAGTTTAACCGGTGACAAGTTACTACGCGGCTGAAAATATGGCGGCAATCCACAGTTGTCGCTGTTAATGAAATAAATTCCCTTGAAATATCTAATGTGTCCAGGAATGGTGGTCCTTTGTAAGAAAGGTTAATGAAGATGAAGTCAACAAACAACAGGAAAGGCGGTCCACTGTGAGACGGTGAATAAAGATGAATGCGACACCAACAGAAGTGGTGGTCGTTGGTGAGAAGGAGAATGGTGGCTCTCTGTGGAACGGATAAGCAATAATACTTGCACACAGAACGGAAGCAAAGATACGTTAATCCATCACAGGAATGGTGGTCGTCTGTGAGAGGGAGAAGTATACATTCTGTTTAAATACATAGGACACACGACAGTATCAATCAGTTTCAGTAGATTATCAGTATATTGTTTTTACTGATAAAGAAAGGATTTTTGGTATATCAGAATATCCAGAGAACATCAACAAACTCTGTAACATTGTAATTTTTCATTCTAAGTGGTTAATCTGGAAGGCCAGTAATTCAAAGAAATTTGAAAATGAAATACAAAATCCACTATCTCTAATTGGTAAGATAAGAAATGAGTTGAGAGACAGAATAGATATGATAATAAGGACAAATAGAGAAGATTTCAGATTCTATCAGTTGTTACATGCATTAAAAATACAGTTATAAATGTTTGTCAACTATGTTATATCCTAGGTGCTGATTCTGTTTCAGAGCAAATTAAATGTGTTTTTACACATGTGCCCTGAAGTAATGATATATGAAAATATATATATATATATAAATCATATTTCTGTACCAGGTACTGAAATATTATGTGTAATAGGTATTATGATAAAGACAAGTGTTGTGAATGGGAAATACAAATATCTGTAATACATTGTACTGTATGAATTGCTAATGGAAATAAAAAAATAGAGAGAAAAAGTGTAAAAAAAGATACTTACGACACACAACAGGAGTGATATTCATCTGGCGAAGGGACAAGATTACACCAAGGAAAGTCATTAGTGTTTACAACACTGAAATTACAGTTTGCTACATCCAAGGTCTCATTCACAGGGATATGACGACGCAAACCTCTTTCCAGCTTCCTCTGCTCCTCTTCAGTCCGGAAATATCCAGGAAACCTCTCCAATACTGCAGCATCCGACTCGTCAATATCTTCTCCGGTGCTGTGACTTAAGCAAGATCATGTAGGTTTATTTTTATTATAGAATCTTCTATTATTATCAACATCATTGGGGGAAATGCGTTCAATGCATATAAAACATGTACACATGTCATTGGAACAAAACGAATTCTATTGCGTTGAACTGATAATCAAAACTTCGAATGCTTTTTGTAAACATTTTATTTCCTATTTGTTACGATTTGAAATATTCCAAATTTAGTTTCATATTTTTGTTGTTATATCAACCCGCCTAGGTCTTAACTTACCTCTTGGTTCTATCATCATGGGAGGATTTCTGAGCGGAAAGTACTAATATAGTGATGATCAAGATCACACACGATAAAATAATGTTGGTTCCAAGCTGAAAACGATAAAGATTTAGGCATTTCATAGGAAAGCTTTCCGTACATGCATCATGCATATGATACGAACATATTTCATTCGTTTCTATAATATCTAATTAGATTAAGTGTGATTTTATAAACATTTGATAAATCTTATGCACTAATACTGTCTGTTTCAATATCACTTACTAGAATGAGAGATGACCTTGAAATGGAGCCAAATTTTGTCTTTTTTTCTTTATTTTTTCCGTCACTGAATTCGAATGTTTGTTGTGAACCCTCCATCTGTCAATATCTACAACATAACTATAAAAAATATTGCTGCTGCTGCTGGGAATGTTTCTTTTGGCCTTAAAAAAAGTGTCATATCAAATCATTAGTTTTACAGATACCATGCAACATAAAGTAAATCTACAATTGAATTCGTCCTAAAATTTCATATTCATATGAGACAGGTGATGCCTTTTTCGTCACAATGACATTTTTTTGTATATATGAATGCAATCTGGTGTGAGGTAAGGCGTCATCCACATTGATATTGACATGAGCGACAACCTGACAACCAACCAATAGTAATGTTACATTGCGTCTTGCCTATTCGATTAAGTCACGAGTGCTGATTGATAAATTGTGAGCCTTGTATTAAAGACGTTAAGCAGGTATCTCCTTTTTTCAGCTCTGCTATTCCCTGGCTGTGTGCCCGAAGACTTATAATATTTGGCCAGTTTATGGCGAAGAGGTAGCAAGGCAAGTGCCTCTGAAAGAGCAATGATTCCGTATTTGCATAAGAAAGGTCTCGCACCTAAGGATATTCATACTGATATGGTAACAACACTAGGAGATGGTGCTCCTTCATATGCTGCAGTGAAAAGGTGAGTGGTGGAATTTAAGAGTGGCAGGCAGAGCCTGTCATTGTCATGGCTGACATTAACGATTGTGCTTTGATTCACCAGATCTCACTCCATCAGACTTTCATCTATTTCCATAATTTAAAAAAAGCCATTTCCGGTTTCCACTTTCAGCCAGATGATGAGACCATACATGCAGTGGGTGTCTCTCTGAATGGTCAAGAAAAAGACACCTTAAAAGTGACCATTTCACATCACTGGTAAAAGTGTATAGATAATAAAGGGGATTATGTTAAACAATAATGCAAGATGTCCGCCAAAATTCAAACCCTTGAATATGAGACTCACAACTTATCAATCAACTCCTGTATTTACTGGAAAAGTTTCCCGAATGCCATAATCAGCGAAATGATTGACTTAAAGCTGTTTGATGTGTTTTCTTAAACAATGTGCGAAGCGAAGAACAAAGCGCCAAAATGACGTCAAAACACTGTATTCAGACCTCCATTGAATCAACATCAGAGCATTTTCTGAATTTGATTTTAAAATAATTATGAATGATCTGGCAATTCATATGAAATTTGCTAGAAAATCGTAGAATGTTTCTTGGGTTGCCATATTGCAATTATATCGGTTGTGAATACATTAAGAATTCAGAAAATGCTTATATTTACATTCTACAGCATTTTAGAAAGTACTTTTCAGGTACCAAATGAAGTCAATACAGTAAAGTGAACAGCTGAAATACGAGAATTGATAGCAGAACCTTTGTGATAGCACACTGCAACGTCACAATACAGCGGAAACAGATGAAACTACAGGTTAATAACAACAATTGAAATTAACACTGAACTAAAGCATGGTACCATGCAAAATGTAGCTATTTATCACTTAACAAAGGGTTTTACACGTGTGTCAAAGAATATTCAAAACATGGACAGTTATATTTTTATATGCAAAAAATCGATGTCATGTTATTTGCGGATTTTCCTCATGAAAACGAGGTAGGTCATTAAAGGTCGTGTAAACATATGAGGAACAATGCATCTTAAAGGGGATCAACGTAAAGTAATTGACTACTATTGTGTATCAGTTTAAACCCGTAGCATCAGCAATGGAAAGTCCTAGTCTTATCTAATTTATGTTTCGTATTAAAAGTTACTAATCTTCTGAATATGCGTTTCCGTTCAGTGTTTCCTATTTCCATGTCAACTCAATTATATCCGTGCTTTGCTTATGAGCTGTTGTATTTGACTTTCACCTAGCCGTCCGGGTTTCGATTCCCGGAATGGATGTGAAAGGGCATGGGGTCACCTGCCCGACCACGTGGGTTTTCCACGGGTACTCTGGTTTCCTCCCACAGTAAGACCCCTCGCGCGCTTCCCTACGGGCCAACAAGAGTGATTAATATAAGTTCAAAAACTTGCTTTGCAACTGTTGTAAAGTAAATGAAGTTTATCATTTATCATTTGACAGGGTCTGGCGCATTTGTCTGGCAGACGTACTATCAATAACAAACTATTTATGAAAGAACATTTGAATTAATGCAAATAAATACAAAGTACATTTCTACAACCCCATCCCCCCACCCGACTTGTCAATACATTGATATAACAATTTAAACTCTTGAGATTAAGATTTGAGAATATATTACATTATGCATGTAGATTTTAGTACATATATATTAAGTAATTTATATATATATATATATATATATATATATATATATTTTCTGTCAAGGAAAGTAGGAACAGACTATTACTGAAAATCACTCAAATGTAAAATTTGACTTGTTGGCCAGGTAGTACAGGTAAATTTCAGAATGTTGGCTAAGTGAGAATGAGCCCTCCCAGCTCTCCCTGGGCAATCGCTATCGTGCTTACAGCAAAACCAGTAACTCTCGGAAATGTAGTAAGTTAAGATATACTGTCGTCACGGTCTGCTAAACACTACAATGAATACATGAGGTCATCCTGTACAGTTTTCTCACGAGAGGTTAGATTTTAACGGGAAATTCACACCTATACCTGAATATTCTACATAAACAATAAACTCACTTCCAATTCGTTTTATTACAAATTTAGTTAATCTGATTTAGTAAAGAAATATACAATTTACGTGTATTAGGGCAAAACTTACCTGTATACTCTGTATGTCGCTTTCTCTCGCCAATTGATTATTCTCCCACTCATTTGTTTCGAGTTCAAGCGATTACGTCTTCTCAAAACTTAAATAAAACTTTAAACAAGGTGGAGAGGTCGTGGTTTTCCCCGAAATAAAAGCATAGGGGCGTAAACAAACCAACATGTGACACGTAACTGTGAGAGCCAATAAACACGAATACAAACCCGGATATGGATGTCGTATATAGTACACGACTGACCGAATACAGGCTAATTTTCCACTTATAAGGCGTGGTTACCACATCAAATTAAACAAAAAACTGATGGTTCGTGGATATTAACTTTTGAGAGCAGTGATACATTTGAAGAAAATATGAAGTACTTGATGCCTGCTATGAGGAGAAGGGGGAAATATATATTAAAAATAGAGTAATTCCTGGATCAGTAAATTGGTAGAATCGTGAATTACTGAACCGAGAACAAGTATATATCTTAGTTTTTTTTTCCACAGATGGCCGTTTCAGTACTGATAGAATGAAAGAAAGTGCAGTAACTCCAGGATATCAGAACGGCGTTTCAGTTGTATAGCCAAATAGCTAGCGTTTGTTAATGTGCGGTTGAGTGTCATGTGGAAGTTAAGAAATTTCGATCGTGATTAATACCTGGATATGTGACCGTTCCGTTGTACCCCCGGTGAATGTCACGGAAATTTGATGGCATCTTCCTGCAAGGTACCCTCGGGCAGCATGGAAGGCGAAAAGCTCCTCCTAAGGACTTGTTCAGACCTAGCGGGTCGCGTCCTGGGACGGCATCGCTTTTGAAACATGGGGACATGTACAGTTGTATTTGCTGAACATGCCAGGCTGCATAATCCAGTAGTTGTCCCATTGCTGCCACCAAAAGCAACGTGCAACGGGGATACAACAAAGTACACCCATCCAAGCACTGATGTTGTATTACTTCGGTACATAGACATGACACTCGACCGCAATAAACGCTAGTTAATGTACTACGTAGCTAAATGTCTATACCCATGAATCGTCTCACAGAGGAATTGGAATATAGAGTGGAATAAAGATGTTAAAATTAACGGTCTCAACCGACTTTCAAGGCCACTGTGGTGAAATGCAAGAAACGTCCAAAGATTATATCTGTAATTTGATAAGTGTAGGTGTATGGATACCCCCTACCCCCACGAATAAGGTCATCCTTTGTGAAACGGGTAAACAACATACAAACGGTACATGTCCATCAAGCCTCTTGTCATATAATGACATATCAACTTTCATTTTCTACAAATATTTATCTTGAGCAGCATTCAATTGAACAATATTAAGCAACACTTGTCAATAAAGTTTGGTAAGCAGTTGTCTTCAGACTAATGTCCTTGGCTTTTAGTTCCTCGTAAGGAACTTATTATGAATGTTGGTTGGTTTACAAGTTTAACGTCTGCTTCCATCGTTGTACATCAATACTGAGTCGACACGAGGTGTTGGCATATATCCTGAACTGAGACTAGGGCCTTGTTCATTCGATACCACATTAATATTGTCCATGGACAAGTCTACTCATCTTGACCGAGTAAAAATTGAAAGGACGAACGGAATTGTTTTAGAGGTAAATGAAAATGATAAATACACCAAAACCCATTAAATATTTCAATGAATATTGGAGTTTTTTTTTAATCAGTAAGGTCATGATATGCTACCTTCTCTGAGGCAAAACATTAACTGCGTGAAAAACATGACACGACATATTTGATGAATGGAAGTAAAATACATTGCTACTTGTGATATATGTTTGATGTAAAGTACTCTAAGTGCCGAGTCAATGCTACTAGGCACAGTGGTATAAAATAAATTTATCCCACACCGAGCTAAGAATCGAGACGAGTCTCTGGTACAGACTGGTGTACAACAATTACGAAAGGGTCTATCTGGGTCGATCAAGACAGTCGTCACTGACCCGATGCTGTTGCTCCAATCGGAGACGTACATTTTGCAGAATCGATCCGTTCCCTATTTAAAACGAACTTTAGTACTTCTCAAGAAACAGCAATAACAAACATTCAGTGTTGAAATACCAGAAAGGCGGCCATCTTGTTTTTTTCTGATCAGTGCTAAAATCAGATGGGCAAAACTAGGGACCAAGGGTAACCTATATATGAAATTTAAGAAAAAGCTATAACAAACTTTCGAAGTCAAAATCCAAGTTGGCCGTCTTTCGGCCATTTGTTTTTCTGATCAGATCCAAAATCACACACGCACAATAAGAGACCAAGGGAAACCTAAATATGAAATTTGAGAGAGATCCATTGAGCACTTCTCATGAAATGGCGATAACAATTTTCATAGAAAAAACCAAGATGGCTACCTGTCGGTCATTTAGTTTTTTTTATCTAATAATTGTTTTTGGAAACACAGCGCCAGTATTAAAATACAATGATACATATGTCGCAACAGCACCAGTAAGTAGGGACTTAGTAACCTTTATTGAGACAGGAAACAGACAAGCAACGACTAATACTAGTAGCATGGCGCGGATACCGGGTAGCGGGATCCGGAAGAAATGTCACATGGCCATCACTGGCGCTACCCTTTTTCTTTGCAAACCAAAAATACCTTTTACAAAACTTCAGATGACACTTTAGACGACACTGAACAAGTCTGACTTCCTGTCATTAAAAGACAAAAACCAAGTCAAATTTTCAAATATCAATACAAAACATAGTCTTCAAATGCTGTAGGTGCCCGTTTTGCACGCCTCGACCGATGTACAGCATTGTCACTGGACTGCGAAACAATGTCCTCAACTGCTGCAGGAGTATCAAGTAATGGTACTGGGTTGACTGGAATGTCCGTGATAACTGATGGAATATCGGGCTCTGGCGGTGGATCTAGCACTATTGTAGATTGCAGAGTGACACCGTCCTCGTCTTCAGATTCCTCACCATGTAAGAGTGGCTGGGGAAAGCCTTCTTGTCCCATTACCTTAAAACAATCAGAAAGGCGTACTCGGTAGCATCCTTTTCTAAGCTGGTTACCTGCAAACTTTCGGATATTACACCATGAGCCCTCAATGCTTGCGACTATGTATCGGTCTCTAGATTTGGCTTTATTGCGATCACCGTGGAGGTAGACTAAGTCTCCAGGCACTACTGCATATGGCGTGTGTTTAGACGAGCTGTAGCCAAAGACAGAAGAAGAGGAGTCACAGCACGACATCCTGGCTCTAAACGTAATATCTCTTCCTCCAGCTCCTGAATAGCCATTTCTGCGATGGGGTTTTTGTTGCTGTTTTTAGCATTACCCAGTTCTATTGCAAGACGATACTTTTCCAGAGATTCATCATTGATCAATGCTTTAAATCCTGGAGCAGGGTCGGTTCTTATGACGGCAAACGGGCCGTCAAGCGGATGGTGATCAACATAGCCTAATCAAACCATCACGTAGAGTATCCTTGCGTTCGTTGTCAAGGAGCAACGTAGATGTGAAGGACGTTACACACTCTCGTACCACCAGTATTAACTGTCTGGCACATTTGATGATGTCAGCCGCAAATTGGCATCCCACCGAATCTGATGGTGGGCCCGTTGTCTGTTCCTGCAGAAATTTAGGTGTCTTCTTTAAAGCTGCACATTGATGACAAGAGTCCGATACGCGATGTAGCGCAGTGTCCATATCCAGGGCATAGAAAGAACGACAAACGGTTTCTCGCAGCTGATGAAACGTCGGGTGGTCGAGCTTGATATGCAGGAAGGTTAGTAGGCCATCAAGGGCATGCCTAGGTACAACGATACAATCAGTTGATTTCGCCAAAGGTGTGTGGCGTCGTACAACTAAGAGGCCGTCTTTAGAGAGCGTAGCTGCGTTGATGTATCGTTTCACATCACGTATGTCAGTTTTTTTTTATGGACGTGTTCCCTGACGAAGGTAGGTTTTTGTTCGAAGTAGGTCTGCACATTCAGACTGAATGGATAACCATGCTGCATGGCTGGCAAAGGGTACGCCTGAGGAACTGTCCAGAGTATCTGTTGGTGATACACTACGGACAACATAGTCAATCGAACAATTGACAATCATGCAAATTTGGCAAGTGGGCTCCTTACACTCTGGTGCATTGCGACTCGCAAAATCCGAGGGAAGAATTGCATAACCAGCGACATGTCTTATACAAACCTGGTATTTGCTAGCAGTGGAAAGGAAGGTGGTCACACGCGGACTAGCAGAGAACTCGCCCCGACACAACTTCCCGAATGCCTGTACACACGGCTTGCTGTCCGTTAAGACACACACAGTGTGACAACTCTGAACGATGTAAGGACTGAAGTGCTTAATTGCGGCTGCAATGGAAAGTGCCTCAATCTCGCATGCAAGCAATGTGCTCTGGTTTTTCCACAACTTAGCACTGAAGTAGCCTGCAAGTTCAATTTTATCATCACGTGATAAATAGAGTGTGGCACCAAGTGCAGGGTTTCTCAGTGCGCCGTCAGTTACAATCCAGAGATGATCCTCTGGACGTGGAAGTGTAACAGATTTGCATGTAGATAGGGCAGACTGAGCACGAGAGAAAGAATTTGACAGTGCATCGGACCAAGCAACAACCTCTTTCGAATCACGGCCTGCAACAGCATCATCCAGCGGGGCGAGGAGACAGGCAGTACTTTTCAGGACTCGCGCAAGAACTTTGTAAGCACCGATGAAGGAGCGGAGTCCCGCGGCATTTGATGGCTGAGCACAAGTGGACTGGGCAGCTATGCATTGAGGACTAGCTTTTATGCAAACAAGACGCCAGATCCAACCAAGGATGGTTGTTTGCCGAGGGGCAATGACTGTCTTGTGGGCCGACAGGCGCAGGTTGCAATGCCGCAACGATCTCAAAACGCTCTCCCAGATCTTCCAATGTATTTACCCCACAATACAAATCGTCAGCTACTTTAGCAACCTTACCCTGTTGGACAAGATCTCCTAGAACACAGCAGGTGGGCTCTTCTAGGGCTGTTTCGGAGCCAGGCATACCCATTGCTGTACGTGTGTACACTCGTACACCCTTGAAAGGCGTAACAACTCCACAGTACTTCATTGAGTCACGGCACAG